AAGAAGAAGAAGATGAGAAGATGAAGAAGATCACGATGAAGAAGATGACGAAGAAGAAGAAGATATTCACAAGATCATGATGATGTTGGTAGGAAGAAGGAGAAGAAGAAGAAGAAGAAGAAGATGTTGATGAAGAAGAAGAAGGAGAAGATATTCACAAGATCACGATGATGGTGGTAGGAAGAAGAAGAAGAAGAAGAAGAAGAAGAAGAAGAAGAAGATATTCACAAGACGATGATGGTGGAAGAAGAAGAAGAAGAAAGAATATATTCACAAGATCACGATGAAGAAGAAGAAGAAGAAGAAGAAGATATAAAGAAGAAGAAGAAGATCACAAGATCACGATGATGGTGGTAGGGAAGAAGAAGAAGAAGAAGAAGAAGAAGTTGAAGAAGAAGAAGAAGAAGAAGAAGATATTCACAAGATCACGATGATCACAAGGATGGTGGGGAAGAAGAAGAAGAAGAAGAAGAAGAAGAAGAAGAAGAAGAAGAAACAAGATCACGATGAGAAGTAGAAGAAGAAGAAGAAGAAGAAGATATTCACAAGATCACGATGATGGTGGTAGGAAGAAGAAGAAGAAGAAGAAAGATGATGGTGGTATAGAAGAAGAAGAAGAAGAAGATATTCACAAGATCACGATGATGGTGGAAGAAGAAGAAGAAGAAGAAGAAGAAAGAAGATATTCACAAGATCACGATGATGGTGGTAGGAAGAAGAAAGAAGAAGAAGAAGAAGAAGAAGAAGAAGAAGAAGAAGAAGAAGAAGATAGAAGAAGAACAAGATCACGATGATGGTGGTAGGAAGAAGAAGAAGAAGAAGAAGAAAAAGAAGAAGAAGAAGAAGAAGAAGAAAAAGAAAAAACAAGATCACGATGATGATGGTGGAAGAAGAAGAAGAAGAAGAAGAAGAAGATTTCTTTCCTTCAAGATGATTTAGAATAGGAAGAAGAAGAAGCCCTCTTTCTCAAGATCACGATGATGGTGGTAGGAAGAAGATGATTTGAAGAAGAAGAAGAAGAAGAAGAATGATGATCTTTGAAAGGAAGAAGAAGAAGAAGAAGAAGAAGAAGAAGAAGAAGAAGAAGAAGAAAGAAGATCTCTGTTATTCATCCAAGATCACTTTGATGGTGGTAGGAAGAAGACTTTTCTGGCAGTCAATGCCTGTGTTTGATAAAAAGATCTTTCCTCATTAGAAATGAAGAAAAAAAGCCGTTTTTTGATTGTAAGATTATTTGCTTTTTCTTTCAAATTTTTAACGAAGATATTCTGGTTTAAAACTTTGAACGATCTCTGTTTGATTAAGACTCCCTTTTTGGCATTTCATGCCGTTTTCTATTTGTTTTTTGAAGAAATTTCTATCTGATTTCCTACGTCTCGTCTGTTTTTGGCATTATATGCATTTTCTGATTTCTGTGCCACAGTAACTATCGTCTGTTAATATACTATGAAGTGAAGGTAACGGTTAATTCTAAAATTAAACAGGTTAAGATTGTAATATCAAAATCAATATTAGATCAAGTTCCAGGCGATCATTCACAAAAGCAGTATCTCTCCTTCGGGCGGAGTCTGGTTTCGTTACTCGACACCTGTTGCATCGCCAAAAAGAGTAAGTGCCAAAGGGGCTTGAGCAATTTTGGAACGGTTTCTGAAATCCCACATTCGTCTTGATATTGTGTCACATTCTCTACGACGTTGGCGTGTGAATAAATAATTACTGGACTACTTTTTTTTAAAAAATCATTTAATCCTAAGCCAGACGATAATGCCACTAGGACACAAGGGGTTACTGGGAGTGAAAGAAAGCGAGAAGACTTTAGTGATGAGTTGCGGGAAAAAAGGACACTAAAAGAACAGGATTCAGAAAGACAGAAGATGGTGATGACTTTAATTTATGTGACATTTTTGAAAAATATTGCTTACTTAATAGAAGCCCCAATAGCCACTCAAGCTAGAAGGTTACGAAATGAGGTTGTAGAATGAGGGAGGGAGAAAGAGGTGTACATTATGAGGATATGTCGAATAAATAACGATTGATTCTAGATATGAAGTGATTAAGATTGAGGTGGTCGGGAAAGCATCCTCTCGGGAGTCTCTTCTCACGAACCTGTTCTAACTGTACGAATACGTAACAAGGGGTTTTAAGTCACTGACCAAACACTGAATCTGTTTTAAAAATATTTATGCTGATACTAAAAACATTTTAAGTCTGCTTTACTTGTGTCCGTGTCAAAGATAGATATCGTCTTCCAATTCTGTTTACGTCCTTTGCGAGGATTCTTCCTCGCAAAGGACGAAAATAGACATTACTACCAATTACAGACATTACTACCAATTACAGTGTAACTCGGATATAAGAGAGTTTTCGGGACCGAAGAAGAAGTCTCTTATATCCGGGTTTCTCTTATATCCGGGTTTGGTCTATTTTATATACATTAACACAGGCTCTAATTTGGGACCGGAGAAGAAGTCTCTTACATCCGGATTTCTCTTATATCCGGGTCTCTTATATCCGGGTTACACTGTACTACCAATTCTGTTTTATATCTATACTTGAATGCTTCAACATGCTTTCAAATTCAGTGCGCGTTATATATGACAGATGATTATTCCAGAGTTCCTAGCGCAAATTTAGGACTGCGTATTATGCATGAAGAATTAGGGAAATTTCGTAGAAAATTTTTTATACAATTTCTGCCTGAATTTCTGGGATGAAGGGTCATCATTATTTACACTATTTACATGCCGCTTATTATTCTTATCGTTGCTGTTGTTGTTGTTGTTGTTGTTGTTGTTGTTATCACACCGTTTCGGCCGTTGCACCATCTGGCCTTCATCAGAAGCATATAACATTGTCAACATCACGGAAGTATGGAAATTTAAATATCTAGTAAGTGTTTCTTTTAACAGAGGACGGAAAAGGCAACAGCGAATTCTGAAGATGCATTATGATAGAGAAAGATGTCTTTCAAAAAAATAAGCAACGTATTAAAAAACTGGAAAATTTCCTTAGAAACAAAGAAAAGAGTGCTGAACTGTTATGCAATATCGGATCTCCTATATGGCAGTGAATGATGGACAATCTCCTCAAAGATGAAGAAGAGACTTTAGGCAGCTGGCACTAAGGTGGGGGAGGGTTATTACATTTCAGTTGAAAGGTTTTAAAACATATCTAGTATATTTTCTAAAGTTGTCCTTAATCTTACACGATCATACAGCTAAACTCGAAAAAATATTTTTCTATTAGATATTTAAGAGAATCTTCTATAAACGTGAATTAAATTAGAAAAAAAATAGCTTTAAAAACAAGATTAATAGAAAAGATAACATTTTGCCCAGGGACATTGTGCTTGTTCTGTAAACGAACGTCTCTCGCAGGTCAATCCATCGAAGGCAGTCGATTTTCAGTGTACGCTCCTGAGTATTCTATTAGCGATAACATGTACACGTCTTCAGACACGTGGTAGTGCGTGTACGTTACGCGTAGAACAAGGTGTGGCGGGTCGGAAGATGCTGTGTTTACAAGTCTCTCTTTCTCTCTCTCTCTACCCCATTTCTTTCTTCCCTTCTTCTCTTCTGCCGCTCACTTCCATCTCGACGTACAAATGTAATAATAATAACAGCGTCAATTTACGATGCTACTTCGCGCCGTTGGCAGATAAGGAACTTCGGCCAATTATCGTTTGTAATGATCGCTAATGCAAAGCGAAGCCTCGACAGGAATGGGTAAGGTAAGATGAAAGCTGACTGGCAATAGGGACGAGCTATACTGAACGAGTATGCGTTTAGTTTGGGTAAGAGGTGAGATCCGGTGGGAGGGAGTGCTGGCGAACGAAAATCATGGAGAACAAGCCGATTTTCGTGGGAAGCAAATAAGCTGTATCTAGAAAAAAGAGTACCACATCAATTGACTGGTCTGCTCGTAAAAGTAGGCAACTATTTTTGGGGGGGGGGGGAATTATCCAGATTATCATTTTGTTGATAACTGTTCTGATGAGGTTTTTATTTTAGTGTTTCGACTGCATGAATTTAAGCGTGCTACTAGATTAGGTCTCACCGCTTTTCTGTTGAACGTGCTAGATGCAACCGTGTTTTAAAATTCTGACAGTTTCTTTTCTCGCACTTCTCGCCTGTGGAATTCAATTTCTTGCTTCCCTGCGACCTAAAATCTTCAAAAATTTAAATGCAGCGTCAATCTCGACCTTCTGTCTTACTGAATACTGTTCTTTTATTTTCCTTTTCCTTACTTCTCGGTAAAATTTTCTCATTCTCTTTCGCCCTCCTGTAGCCCCCAGCGTCCTAGTGGCATTATTGCCTTGCTTGGGGTGAAATGATTAAAAAAATTCTTCAAACCACATTTGTCAAAATCGAAAAATATTGATTTTTATTATTTTAGAAGGAGGGTCCTGTTCATAATATAAATACAGTATAAAATCGATCCCTGACTTCTTAAAGTGTTATCTGTAACTTTGTTTTTATTTACAAACGTTAATTGTCTTGGGTATAACGATAAACTACATCTGGCAGCAAGGCTTTTGAAGAGCATGGAACCACCTCTTAATTGCTGTTAGTGCCAGGTCCACCTTGACCCGGGGTGGTAGCACTTGTTAGGCTCCCAGTTATGGGCAAACAGAACTCCCCCCCGCCTCCAAAATGCTAAAAATGTATAAAAATACATTTTTGCGGTAAAAATACTAGAAATACATATTTATATAAAAAAATTTATATAAAAAATTACCAACAATAAAAAGTACCAACAATAAAAAAAATTACCAACAATAAAAAAAATTACCAACAATACATTTTTATAGTAAAATTGGCGAGCAGTACATTTTTAAAGCAAAATGATCAATAATACATTTTATAACAAAATGACCAACAATACATTTTTATGGCAGAATGACAATGAATCCAACATTAAAAAAAATATAAAATATACATTTTTATACTAAAATTATGAGTAGGTAAGGGACATGGTGCATACGGAAGAAGAAAGGACTTACGGCCACATGACATTGATACATTGCTTCCCATACAATCATCGAAGTTAAGCAACGTCGGGTCTGGTCAGTAACTAGATGGGTGACCGCTTTGGAATACCAGATGCTGTAAGCTTCGATGTACGGGTGGCGTAATAGATAATTTCCAATTAACCGTTATATTCAGTTACGCTCAAATATCCTTGGGAAAGTTATGGACCACCTCTTCTCCCATCAGCTATGAGTTAAAGTTGTATCCGTAGATGACAATGAGTTGATAGCTGGCTGAGAAAGAAACCTACAGGACATCCGAGTGGTAGAAGAAAGCAAGAAAAAAGGACTATCAACTATAAGAAGGCAAAAAATATGATCATCAGCAAGAGAAAAAAGGCCAAGATGAAAGTTACGAATTGGATATATAAACATCAAGCAGATGCAGAGCTACAAGTATTTACGAAGTGTTTTAAAAAAAGTTGGAAAATGTGCCACTGAGATGCAAATACGTATCGAAAGAAGTATTTCAAAAGATTCATCAGAAATTTCAAACAGGAAAACCGTGAAAAGTTCACGGGTTAAACCTAGTTATTATTAAAGAAGAAAGAAGAGATACTGAATTGTAAAAGGAGTGGTAATGTTCGTCTCATGCCTTTTAGTTATTACGTGCTATTGCGCAAGTTAAAATGAATTTTACAATCTCGGTCCCCGGAGTTATTTAACCTCTACAGCGACGCCATCCTAAAGGAACTGGCGACCCTACCAAGATTTATTAGCGATGAGCGTAATGTTATCAATACAAGATACGCAGATGACACTGAGTTGATAGCCGACTGAGAAAGGAACCTACAGGACCTCTGAGACAAGGTGGTAGAAGAAAGCGGGATAAAAGGACTAACCATAAACTTCAAGAACACTGAATCAGCAAGAGAAAAAGGCCAAAGGTGCAAGTTACGGATTGGAGATATAAACATCAAGAAGTTGCAGAAGTTCGAATATCTGGGAAACAGATGATGGAAAAACGAACTGGACTAGCGAAAGAGAATTAAGCAAAGAAAAAGGAACTGAGAAACGGAAAAAGAATACATTAGAAAGAAAGAAAAGAGTGCAGGATCATTATGTGACGTCGCCCCTCCTTGGTCGCAGCGTCGACTCTGTCGTTCGATCTCGTTCGCGGCTCCAACTGTGACGTGACGTGATGTGGCCGCCCAAGGGTCGATCCTTGTCACGGACAGCACCAGTTGTGACGTTTTTTTGCCGCGGCGTCAGTTGTTCGCTCCCCGCTGCTCCAAGTGTGACGTTCCAACCCTCTGGTTAGATGATTACCAGCCTCGCCGTTCCCAACTCGCTTCCAACACCTGGTTACTAGGGTAACTGTACTGATCTCCGGTCTGCCTACCCACGTTGTGATTAAATCTTAGACAGACGGGATCAAACAGGAGTCGGGGCCGTATGCCAGCTGGGTTCAACAGGGGGTGGCAACACACAAGCAAAAAAAAAAAAAACTCACGAGGGCAAAAATTACTGATAAGAAAGGGTAACAACCTTTTTATATCTAATGTTCGTTACATAAAAATTATTCTTACTTCCCGACCCGTTTTGTGGACTGTGGCACCAAGCTTCTATCATACAATTTAAAGACTTCGAGTTGCCTACTCTCTAGAATTTTGTATGTCGGAGTTTGGTTTGGTTTCGACACTGGGCGCTAATCTCTACCAGTCGTTCACGGCTGATTCTTCTCTTCGGCTTGAGTTGGACGAGCTTATTTCGCTTCGGCTTGAGTATTTCTTCACTTCGATTTGGGTTGGACGAATTTCCACCCTCAGGCTTGGCCTGGTTTCAACTTCTTCTAGACGCAACTGCAAGTAACTTCTTCTTCTTCCGTCCTGCAACTCTTCTCGCCAAGGTCCGAACTCTTCTATCTGCCGTCTGAGGTGATCTCTTCTCTCTGCCTTCCGGGGCTGAACTGATTTCTGTCGATCGGGGTTCTGCTTTTATTGACGCCGCAACAAACTGGGGTGGGTCTGTCGGCGTCAGGGTTTCTTGATAATTCCAAAAGTCGCATTAGTTCTGATTTCCCATTATCGCTCTTATTTTCACCCCTACTTCCTCACAGTGCCTCTGGGGGGAGGCGCATACCCATCTCTCCCGGTCTCTCGTATGTCAGGTGACCGTTTTTCGACCAATGGGTCCTGGTCGAGCGTCCTTTCTCCTTTTCTCGCATATCACGTGACCGCTGGCTAATGAGATTCTGGTTGGGCGTCTCCCGTCCTTCGTGACGTCTCCAATCGGGCGTGGTCTATCCCGGCTTTGTTCTGGGAAAGAACCACCTTGCTAAAAAAAACAAAATCCAATTTGGCCTTTTTTGCACGCACGAAAATGACAATCTCGGCCTTTCTCACCTTTTGGTTTTTGTCAAAACAGCCCGCCGCTAATTAGATGTGACTTCAGGAAGAATTTTTCTCGTCTCGCTGGCGCTTTCTGTGAGCCAAAACAATTGTTTTCATTCCTTTATTTTCGTTCAGGCCTGACAGTTAAAATCTTAATTATCTGAATTGAAAATATCCTCACTTCATCATCGTGGGGGTTCTAATCTTCAACAGGTCAGGATCTGTATACAATTCCAGCGGTCACCTTCCCATTCCAAAGACACCCCTTTCCGAGTAATATTTCTCCATATTGATAATGAGCTTCTACATTCCGTGGACACAAAAGTAGGCCAGATGTTTTGACCGATATTTTTATCAATCGTACGTATGTTCATCCACTTTTACCATGTCTGTTTTCTTTTTATTTCTTTCATTATCTCTAGACTTATTCTTAATAATAACAATTTCCATTGTTCTTGAAATTCGGTCAGGCGCGTTGGCCTAGATATCTCTTGACACCTGTTTTCGCTTATGACCGGCTTATCTATTTCTCCTCTCCTTTTCTTTTCTTCTTCTTCCTTAGGATCGCCTAAATACAATTAGAGAAATATTCTCAAAACTTAATTACTCTTCGTCTAAATAACTAACAACTGGTTAATAAACCGAATAAAAATTAAATCATATTTCTAGGAATATTTCTTTTTAGTTTTTCTAATAATGCAGGGTGCCACAATTATGTGTCATCCATCCTCTTATATGGTAGTGAATGTTGAACAATTTCCCTAAAGAAGGGGTGGGGGAGAAACTAGAAGCAGTAAAAATGTAGTAATTTAAAAATTCTGAAAAACTAACGATATATTTTACTGTTTATAAATACATGTTGGAAAAATAAAGTCCTTTTATTGATCTTGGTAAAAATCTAACAAAAGGACGAAACGTATCGAGTAAAATAAGTTTTCCTTTTTATATATATATATATATATATATATATATATATATATATATGTAAAAGACAATAAAAAAAGTGTAATAGTTACTGACGCGTTTCGTCCGATGTGGACTTTTTCAAGGGAAGAAAACGAAATGAATTTATTATAAAAGTCCACATCGGACGAAACGCGTCGGTGAATATTACAGTTTTCCTATTGTCTTTTACATTTATAAATATTGTCTTTTTCTACAGGTTAACTGGGAAATCTTATATATATATATATATATATATATATATATATATATATATATATATATATATATATGAATTAATCCACATATAGCGGCTTGGGTTGAGGAATCGCAGAGCCGAGTTCGAATTCCAGTCGAATCCATTACATTCACTTACGTGCTAATACCCTTTGGAAAGGTATGAATCTTCTTCTCCCCCCAGCTAAGGGTAAATAGCAGGACAGACTGGGTTCTATAGCTTTGGATGGCAACTGGTCTAGGAGAAGGACAACTCTGAATTCAAAACCTGCGGAGGGTTGTTTGGGAACCTTGTGGCATTCGGTGCACCAGGTCTCTGTATTCGTCCCTTCAAAAAGTGTGGATGGTCCTGCACGAGGCCTTCACCACTATAATCAAATCTCATGTGCCGGTGTCGGGCTGTCGGTTTCCTGGAAACTGATCTGCTTGACCCTCATACGCCGAAATCGACGGGAGAGTCGACTACTATATATGAATAAAAAGAGACAAGAGGAAAAAATATTGTTATGGTTCTAAAGGAACTGGGGACCCTACCAGAATTTATTATCGATGGGCATAATATGATACTCAGCTGACACTGAGTTGAGGACCTTTGAGACAAGGTGGTAGAAAAAAGCGAGAAAAAACGACTAACCATCAGGTTCAAGAAGAGAAAATTTGGTTATCAGCAAAAGAAAAAGACTGACATGCGAGTTGTGAATTGGATATATTAGGTTGCCCCAAAAGTTCGTAAACACATGATGGTCTTTATTTTGAGGAATAATTTTTGTTGTTTTTGTTATTACTTGGCGAGTAAAATTTCAATTTTTTTGCAAGTGTTTACGAACTTTTGGGACAACCTAATATAAGCATCAAGCAAGTGCAGAAGTTCAGATATCTGGAATGCCTTTTAACAGAGGATGGAAAATGTGACACAGAGACCCGAATACACATTGGACTAGCTAAAGAGTCATTTACAAAACCTGTACAAACCTAAGAAACGAACAAATTTTGTTTAAAACAAAGAAAAGAGTGCTGGAATTTTCTAAAAATCAAGTTCACCCCAAGCAAGGCTGTGAAGCCATTAAGACACATGCGGTTATTGGACGTGGAAGAATTAGAAAACAGAAACATTACTGTTGTGGTAGGATCCACCAAATTTGCATAGTGGAGTACCGACCATATAAATATGGTTGGTACCGGGAAGAGAGGAAGGAATCAAGAGATTCAACCAGAGACTCTGCCCGACTGCGACTCAGTCAGCACATTCTCCAGGAACGGTCTTACCAGGAATATACAAAAGACTATATGTAAATATTGTGTACACTTTCTTGTTTCAATACATTTTGTTCTAAGTACATTTTGTGTTGCATTATTATTCCATGCATTAGTCAAGTTTCAACAATTACTAAGGAAAGTAAAAGAGCAATCAGGAAGACAGTAGATCGCGATTGACATTGCATTTAAATTTTTGAAGATCAAACTTGGCCGAAAAGCATGGAACCAGAAGGGAGTTCCACAAGCGAGGAGGAAAGAAACTGTTAGCATTGTACTTACGTTTATATCTAGCCAACTCAACTGTATATCGATAA